CACAGTTAATGTGCCTAAAGTAACATAATATTTAGTCCCTAATATCTAAGCTATCGCGGATTATTCTTAAGGAGTGTTCTTTTTTTCCACAGCGCACCCACACCATACACACCCTCACTTTCACACCATGACACAACACAGCCGAATTAGGTATTACTTAGTTAAATGTATTCAATAATTTTCTTCCTTTCGTCAAATATGTTTGTATTTCATCTTTTGGCGATGTCTAGCAGTTCGTATCGTCCTGCCATCTTCTTTTCTGCCTCTCTTACGTACCACTAAGTAACGATTCTGTTCGATTGCTTATTTTCTCTCACTTTAGATTCTCGGTCTTTAAATTGTGTTTTTATTTGAATATCGCTTTTTTTTTTCCTTTTTACTCATGTTGTACTTCTTTCCATACTTTTTTGATAAATTATTCTATTTCCCAGTTGTTATGTCAATGCCCAGGCCCGTAAAACAAACATGTCCAAATACACATCGCAAACTTTTCGTTCATTGGTATTTGCTTGTCTTTCATTCTAGCTTTTAGTAATCCTACAGCTAACATAAATTATACTAAATATAGCCAAAGATGGAATACATAATATACAGAAAGGTTCAAATATTTACTATAGGATTTAGGGATTAATACTACGACTACCAGCCAAGCTATTTGGCACATCTCTTTACTACAAGATCATAAAATATTACAACGCGTATAGGCGAGAACATTGATTTATATTACACCTATGCTATGAACACGCAAATATTTATCTTAATAACCGTCCTATACAAACAAGTAAGATCTAGTTGCCATGAGCCAAATAGGTCGTTACTAATGAAATAAGATAGACGATAAACAATTTATTAGCTGACCGAGCAATATGAATTTAATTGGGCTGCAATTTATTAATGCCTGTCACGTCTACCTATATTAAACATTATCTAGGTTCGGAGGCAAATAATGTGGTATATTCCAAATATAATAGTGTTTGATTATTAGCGTTCACATCATATAAGGATATATATACAGTATATTTTACAAAATATAGTTTCGAAAATACATGACCCTTATAAATATAAATCAGTGGCGCTACAACCCCAGATTTCTGAATCAGTTACATGATTTGTCAATCGAATAGGCAACTAGATGATCAGCCTCCTGAGCCTGACACACGCTGTTGAACCTACCACCTCAGGGATGAAAGTCACACGCTATCTACATAACAATTATGGTAAACATAAATTCTTTTTTGACGTTCATAAGTGTACAATGTGTTACCTACATGAATAAATGATTTTTGACTTTGACTTTCGTTTCTTGAAGGACTCTAAGGAATTATCCGCTTTTGTATTTCTTACATATCTGATGTTTTTTTGTGATTTTACGGTTATAGATTGGCAATAATTATTTGGCGCAAATATAGTTTATTTTTAATACGAAAGAATGCCGAATGTGTATGTTATGGGAACTAGGAACTTAGATTTTAATTGTGTACCAATATTTTTTATATTTAATACTCTTACGGCCAAAACATCGTCAAAGAACTAATAATCAAAGTGTGTCAGGCACAGAAGACTGATCAGCTAAATGCATATTAAGGAAAAAATATAAAATAAACAAATATAGAAATCTGTGGTCAGGACCAAGGAGGTTTAATTGTCGTCGTCATTTGTTTTGTAGTGGATTTTTTTCTGTTAAAAAAAATGAATGTTCTAAGTCAAAATACAAATATTGAATGATGTGATGCAACATATCGAGGTCATTTAACAGTTAATAAGAGGTAAAAGCTCCTTATAACTAATCACCCACTTAAATACTAACTGGAAATTGATAAAACGTGACAAATGTAAAACAACCGTTTGTCTTTGACAAACAAAAAACAATTGTTTGCTATCGCGCGTAACGGGTCGTTAAAATTCCTATGTTAAACTTTTTATACATTTAGATTGAATACAATAGTGTAAATATATTTCTAGATATATTACTATGCATTGATTCTTGATAGAAATAGCAAAGATTTTTGTATATTTGTTACAATAAGAAAGTTATTAACCTGGTGACCAAGGTATAAGAAACGAAAAAGAGGAAGACAACTTAGAAGGTGTATAGATCATATTAAGGAAACAGCAGGTACATAGAAGAGTAGCACAGTGCAGACAAGAATGACGGGATTTCCAAATGCCAATGCCAAAAAAGATCACACACTAAAAAATTAGTAATGTCAACTGTTGTGTTGTTTAGTCTATGGCAATTCCTCTTCTCGGTGTTGGGATGGGCAGACGATATAAAGATTATAGGAGGCACAACTTGGACAAGAAGAGCTAACATAAGAAAAGAACGGAGGCAGCTGGAAGAGGCCTGTGTCACAGGACACGCAGATCACCAAAACCGGCACATCTGATGTATTAGATTAAGTTAGGTTATGTAACTAATACAAATGTAAATTTGTATACTGGATGTCAGCAATAAAGGCTAATTATTATTATTAATAGTAAGTGTAAAAGTCCCTGAATTAAAAGGCTGTTATTATATTTGAAAGAATAAAAATAAAACTTTTTCAAATATAGAACAGGGTCAAACGGCTGATATTAAAATCGATTTGGTACACTACTAATGGTTTGGTTAAGTACAGTATCCCTGAGTAATCAGGTATTTTCTAATTAAAATCAATTCCGTGCATTAGTAGGTACTTTTAATAATAATTTATATTTCTCATGAATCAAGCTGTATTTTCCTGTTTTCAGTGTATATTATGATCTGATGACTAATTATTAATAATAGAATGTAGCACGTATTGATTTGCTGGTTGTTTCATGTTGCATACATCTACAATTCTTTTTATAGTCTGTCTAGACGGACATCGATCTATTGGCTATGGTGTATGGCATCGTTTGCTAGCTGGGCGGTAACGTTGAAAGGTAGCTCAGACCTGCGTCTATTATTTATTATTCTCAATAGTTGATTGACCTTCTTTATAATCTGCACAACTTTTTCATTGTCCATAGTAATAGAATACTTATCTATGGAAATAAAAATGAATCGTAAAATATGTTGTTAGGGGGCCTCATAGCCTAGCGGTCTTATTAAGTGGCAGCTAGGTGAGGGGTACCGGGTTCGATTCCCGGTTCGAGGGCAAGTTTTAATTTAATTTTAATTTGTTCTCGGCCTTTGGGAGGGTTGTGCGGTACCGGGCGAGTGCCTAAACCGTACATGGAGGACATGGTCGAATTTCAGGCAAAAGCACGAATTATAAAAATCTTATACTTGACGCTGGCTAATGCACAAACCGTGCCAGAGCCATATTAAAAAAAAATATATATGGTGCTAAGCGACAAACTCGAAGACGGAGAAATTAAGTTTTTTTTAATTATTGAAATCTGAAGAAGGTTTTTATAGAAATAAAATATGAAAATTTAGTTATATAGTTAGTACTAAGGTTTTTATTCCGGAAAAGTGAAAAGTCTATTGGGAAGCATAGCAAAATGTTCCAAATGTTAGTATGTAGCTACTAAAAAGGTAGGCTAAGTAAAAAGACTAGAAGGCGAATCAAATTTCTAGTTCTATTATATATTTCTAGTTTAAAATAAAACATATTTTTACCAGATTGAAAAAAGCCACAATATAGTGAGATCAAAATTTTTTTCGAAGTGTACAAATAAATTCAATAATTTTATTTTGAATTTAAAGGAAAAAAAATATTTGTGTCAAAACTTAAAATAATTTTTTTAAACAGACCAAAGAGACTACTATGAAGCTAGCTATGAAGCACAAATTTCTGAAGGCTGATATATGACCAAGTGACAATTTTTTATTTCTGATTAGACAAAAGACATAAAATATTTCCCAGCAAGGAACAGTTTTATTGGAAAATTCAATTGTCGTTTTTAAAGTTAAGCCTTTCCTGAAATATTTCAAGACCATAATTAATCAAATCGGTCTAGCCAATTACGAGTTTGAGCGAGACAAACAAACCGAAGTACCAAGTAAATAGAGAGGAACAATTCGTAGATAAAACAATACCATATATGAATTACAGATTAAAAATTTGTAAAGTATTGTCAAACATAACACTTTCATTGTGTTTAGACAAGCAACAGAACTTGTTTGCATTACCATTTACCGAATGACCAAATATTTGTCCCGCCTACTTAGTGCCTACATTAGTAAATTGACTATTTAAGACTCGATCTAATATAGACTAAATAGGATGTTTATATATGGCAACAAAAAACGTTTTACTAAAATTAAGAATAATATCGGAAAAATAATATAATCTATAATAAATTTTGTCTCATTATATGTCCACATCGTATCCCTAACTTTCGTGGTACATGAGTCCTTTTTTTAATTTATTTATATTTTATGTCTTATGTATTTTTGCACTTCTTGCGCCTGCATTACCTAATTTATTATTATTATTTTTTTCTCACACTGGAAGAGATCGCTCGAAAGCGATAAGGCCACCAGTTGCCCTCCTTTTCATTTAATTATGTCAACTGTATTATATTTCTGTATGCAACGACTATTATTACAGATAATAAGAATCGTAGAAATAAAATCTATTATTTATGATGGCAGCAAACATGTTCTATTAAAATTAATTATAGTAATATTACAATAGATAACAAGATTAAGTGAATTAAATCTATGATTTATATTAAACATAGCAACTAAACGTTTAAGAATAAGGACTATTACTACAGATAATAATTCTATAATTTTTATTGTCTGTGATTTTTGTTTAAAAAAATGTAATGTCTTTACGTGTTTTTGTTAAGTGTAGCAGTATTGGCATGATCATGATCATGATCACCTCATCCCTGAGGTCGTATGTTCAAACCCCAGCAAATGAACTTTTATGTGAACATTTAACACTCGCTTGTATGGAGGAAAACATCGTGACGATATGATATACAGGGTTTAAGATAATCCACCAATTTAACCAGCTGTTCTCCTATCACGGTCCATAGTCTGCAGAACTACGTAACATGAAGTTCGTCTATATAAAACATACCTTCTGAACAACGAGCGGTGTGCCAAAGTCCTTCCCGCCTTGCAGCCTGAAGCCAAGTGGTTGCTGTTCCGACTTGTTCAGCCGCACAGTGATTAACTGTGCCATCTGGAATAAAACAATATGTTTATCCTTATGCATATATAATTCAAATACAATTAAGTGAGGAAAATCAGTTTCTATTGCGACGCAAAATACATTTACTCGAATTTAATTATAGTACTTCAGCGTGCTTATAGCATAGTTTGGTGTGTGTATTTATGAAAATGGCTCCCATCTTCGTCTCTCTCTCTCTCTCTCTTTCTGAATTGTTCCAACTAATACCACAAGTTTTGTAATTGTATTGCCATACACAATTATCTCCCGTAAACATTTTTGAGAGACTACAGTTGATAATCATTTTTTTTCACATTTGATAATAATCATTTAAATTATACTTAAATACTACACACGACACACATCTTAAATACAAACAAAAAAAAGTCATGTTTTTCATTAAAATCAGTCCAATCGTTTATGAGTTTTATTACAAACACACACATTAGATTAAGCTTTAGAATAAGACTGCTATGAACTACTACAATCCTATAGGATCATTACGCTTAATAAGCGTAAGGAAATTTGGGTGTAATTGTGGTATTAAAAAGTTCATATTTCCCGCGGGCGTGGTATTTGATTGACCCAATTGATGATTTATTTTCACTCAGCCGTAGCTTCGCTGACCGCTTCACTGTTCGGCCAATGCGATCTATTTTATCTCGCGGAAGATCTAAGTCAAAAGATATTAGTGAAAGTCAAACTTTCGTTTAACGCAGGGAGCAAACAATAAGTTAATCATTTATCAGTTTTTGATGATTTCTCCAATGATAAGTGGATCTATTGTTAATGGCGTATTGGAAAAGTGGGACACACAATATCTGACAGGATATTATTTAATTGCAAGCTAGGAATGACATAATATCCGGTAATTCCGCTTTTCCAGACGGAAATTAAACGGCCAAATCTGTGTGTAAAAAGTGAGATGTACGTGAGAGTGTGTATGTGGGGTGTACTCATAATGTTAACTCAAACAGATTTAGGTTTAAACCGAACCGAATTTTGACTACATTTTTTTATAAGTATTAAAATTAAATAAAAATATATGTTATTTTCATATTTTTGATACTATTAAAGCTATATACGTTAAAATTCAGGGTTAAAATCATTAATAATATATTTAATTTTCAAATAAAAAAATTGCATTGTAAATACATTCTGTATATTTGTATGTTGCAAATAAATACTTAGTATTTCCTCCAACTTTGATTTTGTTTCCTTTGGAGTTTTGGGCCTCAAGTACACAGGCGCTAATTAAAGATTAAAGTTGGCACCTGACAGTACCGATGACCCCAGAGCTGGGGTTTTGTTCGCTCAACGAATAAGTATCGCAATACAGCGAGGAAATGCTGCCAGCGTTAAAGGTACACTGCCACTGGGACCAAACTTTATAAATTTTAGTTTTCTATTTATCCATTCATTATTAATATACCTCGACCACTTTTAGCATCATTATTATTAATAATATATAATAGCTTACATGAATGTTACCCTACATCGATATCTAAGACGAACCTGAGAACATAATTAGCACGCGAAAAACAGGACGCATTACAGGTTGCGCAAGCGTCGGGAATGAAGTGCATTTTTTCAACTATCAATCACGAATAGTGCTTCTGTAAACATATACTATTCATAGACAAGAATTACAGTATAAAAACGGTATGCTATCTTTTAGATTTTAAAGCCTAATTTTTAGCGTACATTTTTGATAGATGATGATCACTAATTTTTTTTTAAATAAGTGGCACTGCAACATTTTTAGGGCTAGACCTTAGCTTTCTGTATCTATTTTATGATCATTTGTCAATCTAATAGGCAAGTAGGGGATCAGCCTGTGTCTAACACCCACCGTCGACTTTTTGGGTCTAAGGCAAGCGTTTCCTCACGATGTTTTCCTTCACCGTTCGAGCGAAATTAAATGAAAAAAAAGTCTACAACAGACTCTCAGCTCAGCAGAGATCGAACCTACGAACTATGAGATTAGCACGCTGAAGCCACCAGTCCAATACTGCTCTGACAATTTATTTAGGTATTCAAAAACATTGCCTTATTTATTATTAAATCGTTAAACAGTAGTTAAATGTTATAATAACATATATTTTTTATGGCAAAAGGTCTCTTCCAAACCGCGCCATTGCTGTTTCCTCAATTTGTATTATTTTATTTATTTAATAATAATCATTTATTTATCACATCATTTTGGGTTACTAGATATAGATTCATTATTTATAATTAAAAATAAATCTTATATTTTTTGTTGTTGGGTATAAAAGTGAATAAATATATTTTGACGTAATGTTACTACCATCTACAGCTATTGCAGTAGATCTAGTATTTAACAGTTCAGAAGTATACGAACCTCTCGGTATTAGAGAAGTTGGCAGTTTACAAGCGGCAAAGCAATAATTGTTGCACTTTTTATAATTAATGTCTCCATACTAACTGTATATCTTATAATTTGTTTCGCCTTTGAAATAGGAATTATAAAAAATATCTTTGATATAGAATTTTCGCGAACCAAGTTAATTCACAATATTATCTATGAAATTAAAATTAAAAGTTAATACTCAGACTTAATAAATAGAAATAAAGTATGTTAAAATACAATTAATTGAATCACTAGATACGTTAATACCACAAAAATTATATATAACCGCTTCAGAGAAAACTTTTTGCTAACACTGGCCGCTATAAAAAGTAAAAACGTCTGATAGTACATTCCTCGGCCTACACTGCAAATCAAAAGGTCGTGGCACTCTTCAGTCGACATCTCCATCAATACAATAAAAATAAGTTCTAGTTCAAGTTTCGCACTAATGAGATATTCAGTCGTCACAAAAGGCTATAAAGGACATATAATAAAAGAAACAAGGTTCTAAATAAATTTCTTTTCACTGCAATGAAATAATGTTATAATAGATGTGTTAGTCTATGTATAAGCTCTGCGTTCATTTGACACGCGTTCTTTAGTCTATAGAAAATTCTACGACATTGACATTTGAAAAAAGAACGCGGGTTATTAATTTCTCTTAACCACAGATTAGTCGAATTTTAACCCATATGGGTTAAAATTACAAAAATGAGGTCATATATGTTTAAAATCGCGAATTATAATGAAAAGTAACGAAAAAAGCTTTAAGCCTGCAACCCAGAATCAGAACACAGTGAAATACCTACTACACATAAATGTTTGTAGCATTTGTGATCACTTTTTAATGTTCTATAATAGAACCCCACAGGAATACAACACGTTTTTATGAGATGGAACAGACGGTCTTTTCTTTTCTGCCTTTGTTTTGAGCCTTACATTTCTTTTTGTCTCATAATATAAGAGACAAAACATATATAAACTATTTGTTTATATTGCGTTTCCGTTGGGACAGACTAAGGCCCTAAGTGACTTTCTAGGTTTTAGCGTCATTTTCCTATCTCTATTGTTATTATATTCTGTTGTTTTCCGACCTTCGCTCGTGATTGACCGCCATTTTATCTTAGGAATGTAAACTATATAACAGCGCATTAACTATGTCATCTTATCTATTTACCTATACTAAAGTAAATACAAAATGCTTTCCATTATTTACGTTTGATACCCGTTTAAGTGTTCATAAGGATTTTTTTCTAAATTTTCTTCGTCAGTCCGTCAGCATACTTGATGACGCACTAATAAGGGGCACTTATAAATCTATGTAAATAAAAATTTATCGCAAAACCTAAAGAGCAACTTATTTTTAAATTGTTTTATAAACTTAATTTGTTTTTCAAATTTATTCCTACGTTTTTAAGAAGGTACACGGACTAACCTAAAAAACAGTTTAAAAATTTCTGTAATTTGGAAGGCAAGGCAACTAATATTCTACATGTTAGTATGTAGTCACTTAAAACATAATGTAAGTAAAAAAACATATCAAGGCGAAGGTCGCGAACTCTCATAACAGAAATCTGTCATAAATAAGTGTATATGTTACTGTAAAAGTTCGAACTACGGTTAATCTTAAGATTAAGTGTGAAGTCTTAGGATTTACCGACATGAGTTGGTAAATGTAAGTATTTCTGAAAATACGACGATTTTTTCGAGCTTTTACCATTCGAATTCAGTGTATGCTAGGTTTTACCACTGTCAGCTGGTAGATGTTGGTTTTAGGAATAAAACAATGAGTAATTCTTAATTAATTACTTTGTACTATTAGACAAAACAGGTACATAGTATTATAAAGGTATCATATGATAGTAATAAGTACAAACTAATACCAACTTATTTAAATTATTTTGAACACATAACGTATATCTCTGAATATCTCAATCTCTATCATATCTATCTAACTGAATCAGTAGTTCTTTATTTGGAATTTAACAACGAAATACAAACATAATGCTTACATAAGCTAGTCTAACTTTATAATTATTTTTGTTTTTTAACATTTAACGTGCCGTTAATGTAAATCCTAAGATTTACCAACGGAATGGTGGTAAGAGTTCGAATCGCAAACCTTTTGGGACATTTACCATTAAGAATTGGTAGATCTTAGGTTTTACTGGAATATCTTAGGATTTACTGCAGTTCGAGCTTTAACAGTAACATATATATTCTTCTAAACGTTTACTAAGTATTGTTATTGTGTTTCAGGTTAAGATTCAATTCAATATTAATTCCATAAAAAGATATTTAATTAATCTAAGAACTGCTTATGTTATTAACATAATTGGATAGTTTTTTTTGGACTACTAAATTAGGACAAACAGGATACAATAAACAAATTACATACATACGTACATACAAAAATAAGAAAAGCGGTGCCGTCCCTACAACACGCGGACACCACCAGCGAAAGCAAGTACAAAAAACAGTAATAATACCAACAACAATAAAAATCCACAAAAAAAACTATTAAAATAAAAAAAATTCGCTCGCTAAATTCTGTGTCCTTAGCAGTGTACTCGTATCAGTCTCCTACAACGTAAACTGAACTCTCGAACGCATTCAAATCTCCTGCTTAAACCAAAGACAA